TATAATAAAGTACAAAAGATTAGAAGCAGTATCTTACCCAGATTTGATTTTTATCTAAAAATTATTAGGATTCTATAAAATGATCAGGAATTTGTACATGGTTTGTTTTAAAAAAATATGAATTTTTTAAAATAATAATCCAGAGAAAGTCAGAATAAAAATCTTATGAAGATAAATGTTTTAGAAAATAAACTTTTAAAATAACTATCTGGAAAAAATATAATTTCAAAATTTTTTCTAGAGTATAATTCTAAGCATAGAAATAGTATATAGAAATAAGAATATTTTTAGTTAGTCTTGAAACATTTAAGAGATTTACTTATATAGAAAAAATTTACTTTATAATAAACTTTAAAAATTTTTTAAAAATTGTATCTAAATTCTTGGTCATAGTGTTCGAAAACGGATTAAAAATTCCAGTTAATCTGGGATTGATCTGAATCCGATCTGAATCCGTAATTCGGATTGAATCCGGGAGTGATCCATGCCAATTCGACAGTTTGTCACATATATTTGTCACAATGTAAGTGATAAATTCGAATTTATCACATGACAAATTTGAATTTATCACTTATATTGTGGCACAAGATGTGATATATTCGAATTTATCATGTGATAAATTCGAATTTATCATATAAAGTGATTATATAAAGACATGACCTAAAATTAAACCCAATTCCACTCAATCTGGGCCCAATCTGACAATTCAGGGGCCAAACCTAATCCGACGGTTTGGATCCGCACAAATCCGAATCTGATCCATGCTGACTTTTTCGAACACTACCTGGTCATTTTTATAGAATCTTGATAATTTTTAGATAGAAATTAAATTTGGGTAAAATTCAGATTCTAATCTTTTATATTTCATTATAGTTAGAAGTCAAATCTTATTTAAATTTGGTTTTTACTTAAATTTATAGGATTCTATAGAAATAACTAAAATATAAGCATTTTTAAAACAATAATAGAATGATAGTTTGGAAAAAACCAGTATATATTTTTCAAAAATTTTTATAAAGTAAAGGCTGACTTTTTCATTAAACTTATAAACAATATAACAGCAAAAAATACAATAAATCTAGAGATAAAATGCTAAGCAGCCTATGCAGTAAATTCAAAAATCTTCAATTTTTCTATCTCTAAATGAGTTTTTGTATAATGTTTAATCAAGAACCTATGTTTTTTTTTGTGTTTGCTTTGAAGCTGCAATAGCAGTACAAGAACCTTGTTTTTTTTATATTTTTTCTCTATTGCTGCTATAAATATGAAAAACCTTAAGTAATGCTTATTCTGTAAAAATTATTTTACAATTTTTTATTTCAGGTCAATTGATTATAAAAATTGCACAAAACCAATCACTCCTTTCTGTAAATGGTACAACAGGAACGGTTGTTTGGAATTCAAGTATAATGCTTTCAAAATTTATGTTCACCCATCGAAGTTGGTTGAACCTTTCAGCTGATAAAACAAAAATCTTGGAATTAGGTTCTGGATGTGGTTTAACTGGTATTTCATTAGCTGCCACTTTGGTGAAGCTTATAGCACTAACAGATCAGGCAACAATGTTACCTCATTTGTGGAAGAATGTTAAAAGAAATTTGGATCGCAATTTAATTTCATCAAAAGTTTTAGTTGTTGAATTAGCTTGGGGTGAAGGAATTGACAGAGATATTTTGTCAGAGCATTGGGATTATATTATTGCAAGTGATTGTATTTATAATGAGTTTATTGTTAATGCATTTGTTGAAACTTTAGCTAGATTATGTAATCATAACAAATTTGCGAAACGGATTCATGAAGAAAGTGTACAAAATGATAATGATGAAAGGATCAAAAAGATACAACCTACTATAGCTATTATTGCTATGGAGCTAAGATCTGAAATTGTTCATCTTGAATTTCTTGAAGAGATGAAGCGTAAAAATTTTATTATGTGGCGATTACCAAATTCTATGCTAGGATCTGACTTTGAAAAGGGTTATGCTGCATATATTGCTTGGACTAAAGATTAATTAATATATCGTTTATATAATTGAAATTGTGATTTAAACAAAAAATTTTTTGATTTAGTTATAATATTTACAGTATATAAACCAATTATTTATCTTGCATTTAATATTAAAAGTTTAACTATTTTTAATAAAATTTGTATTACAATACTGACAACCTAGTTCCGACAAATAAATTTGACTAACTTTAACTCGCAGGGACGGAATAATGTAGAGGTCACTGGCTCTCTGCTGAGGTGTTTAAGGATTTTTTTTTTTTTTTTTTAACTATTAAGGTAAGGTCATGCCTCTGGTTTTTTATTAACATATTCTACATCTGGAATATCCAGTTATATATATGGGGACGCCCACAGCAAAAGCAGGGGATGGGACTATATATTATATAGCCCCATCCCCTGCTTTTGCTGTGGCCGTTCCCATATATTAACATACAGAACTACAGAGACTTAGACTAATTTATCTACAACCTAAACCTACTAGAGTGGTTTATACTTCACACATGTCTCACCTAGCTTTATGCTTCTCAACTAGCTATTTTTAATAATCATACTGTATTCTCTCATGTCTTATCATATCCAGTCATAACTTCAAATTTGGTATGTCAAATGTTCACTCCTTATAAGCTCTCAAGTTGGTGTAGCTGCAAACATGATCTATTGCAAATTCTCACTAAGGTATTATATTTATATAATCATGATTGGTGCAGATGACCTTTTTACAGCTTTATATCTTAAGTCAGAACTTGTTACCTAGTTAGGTTTATCATATAACAGAGTTGGTATTGCATTGTTAAATTAAGGACTTATTTTGGATTCGCATTACCTTAATTGGTTTGCATTTTTTTATACATCATCTTTCTTCATAAATATTTTAATCTTCCACTTATTTGTTCAGATATTATTAATTTGTATTTCAAGCCAAGCCCTGCTACCATCATTGGTTTGCCTTCTCAGGATTTAATGTTTTTTTCTAATATAGTAGTACTAAATAATCTGTTTGTACTTTCTCATATAGTGTATTATCTAAACCATATTTTATATAACTGTTTTTACAAATAAAAAAATAACAAACTAGATATAAATCAGATATCTGATTTTAAACTGATTACTAACTAATTACTGCCTGATTATTGCCTAATTTATATTGATTATTGCATTGACAATTTAGTATAACAATAAATATAAATTAGGCAGTAATCAGTTAGTAATTAGTTTAAAATCAGATGCCTGATTTATATCTGGTTTGCCATCTTTTTACCTGTGTTTAATAACCTATCTTGTTAAAAATCAGCTCAATATTATGAAATTTCTTAAATAACAAGCAATATTACTTTTAATTATAGGTTTTGCATTATATTACTAAAAGCTATACTCCAATTTACATCAATTTTCAATTTGAATTTTTATTTTATTTTTTTTAAATTTCAAAGTAACTTTATAGTCAGAAGTTTTTATTAGTTTATATACTAAGCCACTCAAAGTTAGTCACTACTCATTTGATACATGATTTTGTAAGGTATAATTAGCTACATGTGCAACTTTTGATTATCTATT